GCCTCGACGCTCGACTCAACGTATCAGTTATCCCCTCCTCACTCTGTTCTCATTGGTATTGTGCATGTAGCGCGGCTGCTAGCTAGCGTTTTTGTAAGAAGACCCGTAGTATCTGTCAGATGACATATATCAATCCGATGTGATAGGCGTTGTCCTGCCGTTACTAGTAGGCTAGCTGTAACTTGTTCGTGGAAGGGAGAGAGGGCCTGTTACGAAACTCGTCTCCCTCCCCTTCTCCCCTCTCCTCTCCCCTCCCCGGTCAACCCCTATCATCCCCCACCCCGCCCCGGACCCCCGCACTCTTTGCCTTCATTTTTGCCCCCCCTCTTCCCCACTCCCACTGCTTGCGTGCTAATTAGCAACTTGAGTCAGCAGGAGTAGTCACATCAGCGCTAGCCTGCGCCGCGCCTAGCCACGCCCCCGCTGCGTCCGAAACCTTTCCTCTTTTGTGCTTGCCTCCCCCGGTCGGTGAGCTCCAGTGCAGTTGCGGACGCAGCCTGCCGGGGTAGCCCAGCAGCATGGCCCCTCCCCGGCTCAATAATAGGCTCTGCCGGGCAGGAAATAAAATAACTTTTATTATTTTAATAAATATATTTACAAAAGGGCTTCGAGTCCCGAATATGTTATTTGATGTGGCACATGTCTGGGTGGCTTTTGCTGGAAAGCCTGTTGGGTTGAAAATCACCCTGTAGTTTGTCTTTCGAGGCACCTGTAAGCTAACGTGCTCCTTGCGCTATCTGTTACAGATCGGCATCAACCCGGGGCTGTTCGCCGCTTACAAGGGACACCATTATGCCGGTCCGGGAAACCATTTCTGTAAGTCTTAACGAAATAGAGTGCAACTGCCAAAAAAAAGTGCTATAAATATAATTGTTGTCACCATCGTGTAATGTACTAATGTACTTTTGCTTTGATACGCAGGGAAGTGCCTGTATTTATCTGGGCTGACCCCCGAGCCCATGACAGCGGACGACGACTACAAGCTACTCAACGTGGGCATCGGCTTCACCAACATGGTGGAGCGCGCCACGAAGGGCAGCGCGGACCTCACCCGCAAGGAGATTAAGCGGGGTGGGTAGCTCAACCTCTAGTCCCCGTTCTGTCGGTATGTTATTTGCACACCGAATGCTGATCGGTCTTTATTTTTTTTTTGACACAGGGAGCCAAGTGTTGCTTGAGAAACTTCAGAAGTTTAAGCCGAAGATTGCTGTTTTTAATGGCAAGCTAATATATGAAGTATTCTCGGGCAAGAAAGACTTCTATTTTGGACGTCAACCCGATTTCGTTGATGGCACGAACACTGTGAGTCTATGACCTTGTCTATCTATTTTAGACCATACCAAATAATCTCATTTTATTTTCATATTTTATTGTTTTTATTGCAGTATATGTGGGTTATGCCTTCGTCCAGTGCTCGCTGTGCCCAACTCCCAAGAGCTGCCGATAAAGTCCCATTTTATGCGGCTTTGAAAAAATTCAGAGATTACCTCAATGGAGTAGTGTCTGAATTTGACGAGAATGAAGTAATATTTACATCATCGAAATTAAAGCACTACTATGAGCCAGAAATAAAAGATGATCCTGATGAGGGAAGCCAGAAGCAGTTTGGGTACAATTACCCCCCTAGAATTACAAATGGCGATGGATCAGACGGAGCCACGGAGACTAAAGCTCTAGTTCCTGTTGTCAAACAAGAAGATGGAACTGTTTTACCACCAGAGCCTGAACAGCCTGTGAAGAAAAAGAGAGGGCGGCCAAAGAAAATTCGTACGGATAATCCAAATGACCAGCCACCCCCAAAGAAACCAACCCCTAGAAACACTGCACCTGCTGATCCTAACGCTCCAAAGAAGAAAAGAGGACGACCGAAGAAAATCAAAGAGGAAGCAGGTACCACTGTGGCCACCAACAATAACATGGGTAATTTGAGTTCGCCAATTAGTAGCTACACTCCTCATATGCCTATGAACCAATGCCATCAGGGCTACAATTCATCAGCATTTAGCAACCATGGGCATTCGCATAACCACATGAATCATAGTCAATCAATTATGCCTTATAACCAAAATTCTGCCCAGTCTCCTCTTTCAGTAAATAATTACCATCAGTCCCCTTTGCCCCACCATTACTCGCACTCTCCTCAGCCATCATCTTTAACTCATTCTGATTTATCGTCTGAAATAAGTGCAGCAATATCTTCGGAGCACAACCTAGGCTCCCCTTCTCCCCACTCACCAAGCCTTGGCGCGCCCTCGTCAGACTTTGAATCAGCCGCCAACATGTCTGATAGTGCAAGTAAGGGTGGACCTCTCGGAGTGAAGACAGAACAAGTTGTTAGTGATCCTCAAGCTGACTGTGGGTTCCACAACATGTCTTCATCCAATGACAGTCAAGGGGGATCCTACCAGAACTATTCAAGCTTCTCAAGCAGCAGTGACCACCAGACACATTCCCAGGGGCTCTCTCAGGGCCTGTCGCCTGGCCTGTCACCGGGCCTCTCCCATCGCCAGCATCATACTGGAACTCCTACGCATCAACAGCAGCAACAGCACCAACAACAACAGCAGCAGCAGCAACAGCAGCACCAGCAACATCCTGGATATCAACAGAGCCTGGGCAGTACAGAATATGAGCAAAAATGTCAAGATGTGGCTGCAAAAAGTTTGTCTGGCTTAGAATCTCTGGTTGATCAGATTCCCAGCATTGCAGACACTGACGGGCCAAGTGGAGTTCCTGTTAACGAAGGCGGCCCAGACCAATATCCTGGTGGACAGTCTGGACCTGGAGGTTCTGGCCACTATGTTGAAGAAGCAGGCTATCTCACCAACTACTCGTGTGGGGCAAATGGAAGTGGTAATAATCCTTACTCTTCGTCAAACTCCAACTATTCAAACCAAAGCTCTAACTATAATAGTGGTATTAGAATGAACTTTTCTATATCATCATTAGCCAATAGTAGCAGCAGTCCAGGGAGTAGCTCGCCCAACAGCAATCACGCGAGCAACCCATTTTCAGTTAGTAATATGGCTCAGAGCTACAGTTCAAATAACTCATATAACATGATGAGCTCAATGCCTCACATGGACTCTCATCACATGATGAATCGTATGTATGGTAGCCCTAATGGAGCTGGAAACTGTGACATGTCAATGGCTAGCAATATGGGCCATTACTCTTACAATCAGTACTCATCAGGCTCAGCCTCCTACCCTGGATCACCCAGCACTGCACCGTCCACGCCGGGCAGCACTCCTGGCAGCGGTGGATCTGGGTACTACTCACCGTCTCACAGCTTACACATGCCAAGTCCAAGTTACCCCTCTCCCTATAGTTCTGGCTATGGAGGGAGTCCATATTCGATGTACCCGAAACCAGATGTAGACATGAGCAGTTATGGAGGCAGCTCATTTTGAGGAATGTGTAGACATACGAGTCCATTAAGCTGAAATGTGAGTTGATGAATGCGTATGAGTGACTGTGATTGCTGTGTATCATTGTTTCAATCTTCTCCTCCCTTTCTTATCTCTTAAACTTCATTCAAATTTTTATGTAAGAGAAATATATATACTATATATTTATAAATATGAACTTCCCATTATGCATGAATAGATTGCGGGGAGAACAGTTTTAAGTTCATATGAATGAAATTGTGATAAGGGAAAAATATTGGTGATGTGTAGAGCACATTGTAAAAAGATATGCCACTTCTTCATTCTTTATTTGTTGTGGCTTGCTTTAGGAGGATTTTGTCTTGCCCTGAACGTGACATAGAAGTAACTCATTCTATTTAGAGAATGGCAATATTCATTTTTTCCGATTTGCATTTTGCTATTGGCAAGGTACAGAACCATGGCAATCATTGTAGTACTATCTTACATGTGAACAAATTCTGAATAACTCAGAATTTTTCAAATTTTCTTTATTAAAGCAATCTGTTGTTACCAGTAAGTAATAGAATTTTAGTTAAAAAGTACTTTAAAATTATGTGTCAAAAATTGTATAGTTCTGTTACTTAATTATTACACACTTAATAATGATAATATAATGTAAAGTGAAAGTAAATGTGAGCAAAGCTCAACAAACATGAAATTTATAGTTCAGATTGTTCATTGAGCTCAGCACTCTTGTTTTGAGGCAACATTATCAAACATAGTTTGCTCAATATTGGCTCTTGTTTGAACTGTGAGTTGAAATTTTCAAGCCAAATTTGGTTTGGACACAGTGTTTAAGACTGTATGTTGTAACCTTTGTTGAATCTGTTACCTGAAATAGTAATAATATTCAGTTACAGTTATATAAGGATTTAAGTTACCTAAGTAAGTGGTGGTTATGTAAAATGGCATTTGCGTCCCTCCTCAGGTGTGTGATATTGTTATCCCAGTGGAGGAGATGTTATAACCCACATTTATTATATAATCAAAAGCCTCAGCCTCTAAATGATCTGTGCAGTGGAATCAGACTAGCAGTTTTGTTTTTCCACCTGGGTTTTACAATAATGAACTGAGCAGTTGCTTTCTAAATGGATAGATACACCTTTCAATCAATTTGAGATCTTTCGTTTTTATAAGTATCTATTATCTTTGATTCTTAAAACCTGACTGCTGATTTAAATGATAGCAGAGGATTCCCCAAAAGACTGTTCCCAAAATTTAGATATCTTAACAGATCGAAATTCTCTCTTTTGCTGTACTTGTGCCCACAACAATCTATTCAGACTTCCTTTCCTAAACCTCCATTGAGAAACAATTTCACCACTTAAAGGTTTGAATAATGCTGCTCAAACAAAATGTAAGTGTTTAAGTGCTGAGATAATTGTTTGTTTTTTTTTGTTTGTTTTGCGTATCTCTGAAGAAATGGTTTGTGGATTGTTTAACCAATCATTCCTTTATTATTATGATTTTCTGTGTATGGAAGTAAGCTTTAACAGCCTCAGAAGCTAAACTGTTTAGTGTATTACTTTATTAAAGAATACATTATTTCAAATATGTTTTGGTGCTGGCAAGTCAGCCCTATCCATCACAGAAAGAGAGATTACTTGTACAGATGTCTGCTTTATCAATCTAAAGCTTTTGTATTGGCACTTTAATTTTCTTCTCAAGGAATGTTGGTTTGACACTCATTCTCTCAATTGCCTCATGGAAAATGCCACTAACATAGGGTTTCATACTAGTTCTGTCCTTACTATTGCCAATCTTAAGTACAACCTAAATTGGCTATCAATACTTACATGTTTGTTACTTACTGTCAAAAACCTATGGAAATTGTGTGTAGGCAAGTTATGTGACTGTGAAATTAGTAAATTTAACAATTTAATTCTCTTTGGATGGCTATCATGTAGCTTCAGTAACATACTTTTCAACTCAATGTGTGTGTTTACTCTTTGTTCTTTGTGTTGTTTTTTAAACACCTATTTGTTTGGTTTATTATGTTCACTTTGGCTTTTATTTCTTGTTGTGTAGATATTAATGTATGTTAAAGCTATTGTTGTGTGTTGTAACAACTATGGTCTACTTTCCTCTTCTTCTCTCATTCTGTCCTTTTAAATGTTGTGGCGGTGACATAGCTACACAAATGATGTATATTGTGCACTCTCAAGTCCGGAAAGAGTTAACCTTCTGCATGTTACAAACTTTCACTGCAATATTGGTTGGGCTATAGAACTTCCCTATCCCCTTCAATCAAGTAACAACAGCCAATGATTGCTGGTGTACTGCTAAATAGTGTTGATTTTTGTGGGTACGTATATGTCCTCTGATAGTGCAGAATGTATTTAAACCTTTGTGATTTCTGAAATGGTTGTGTAATCTTGTGCAGTAGGAGTGATTTACTGTAATTGCCTACTTGAAGTGGCTATCAAAGATTTATGGTTGTGATCTAATTTTTGACATTGCTCAGTATGTACTACAATGAAATTGATGTGGACTCTTTTCCCTAATCAAGTAGCATGCTCTCTCTTTTCGGACTTGATCATTTATTGGTACTTGTAGTTTGTGGGATAAGCATGTGCGTTTTCTGTAAAATTATGTCTGTCAAATTGCCATAAAATAGGACTGAAATGTACTGAATCTCTTATGTTGTTTGGTAATGTAAAGACTTCAGTATTTGGTTGTTGAAAAGACATAAGTCATGCTGGAAAATAGTGCCAAACATCTTTGAAACATTTGCCAGTGTATTGATTTTCATTTTGCTTGTCCAAAGTGCAAAATACTCAGCAGCATAATGAAAAATTTTCTTTGTCATTTCTTTGAAACAGTTTTCTTTACATTCTGTAATTTCTTGCTTACTGTTAAATGTTGCAATTTCATTGTACTGTTCACCCGGCATGTTTATCACATCAGTTGATCTCTTTCTGAATGGTTTTGCAATATAATGTTGTGCACTAGCATTTGATTTTACCATCATGGATTGTGTTAGCTCAGTATCTCTCTAATTATTGTCTTCCATGTTTGTTGGTGTTGTTTATTTTCTGCTAAGACTTCTAACAACACCTGTGGAGTTTTCTGAACTGTGATTTATACAACAATAGAGCCTACTATATTATAAGAACCCTTGAATTCGGTTTGCAGTTATATCAATTTTTATGTTGCCTCTGGGGAAATGGTCCACACCATTTGATTCAGTATGCTATAAATCCGGCCAACTATTGCAATTTCATAATGTCACCCTTTTTCGTATGTTGTTAATCTGGTGCTGTATTTTGGCTGACAAGAGCAGACTTATTTTTCAATTGCTCTGTTGATCCAGGTCCTACAGTGTCAGGATTAGGTAATGTCGAAACCAAGTTGTAGGTTTGAGTACAAACATATTGCAATAATAACTGTAACCTTAATATTAATTATAAGCTGGTGCAGGCACCCTCTGTTGATACACTGTTCTGGCAAGGCTCGTGGCTATTGCTCCTGTACAACAATTTGTGAAATAGTTAAGTGTACAAACAGTGTGCAAAATGTCCATTAATTAGCAGTTTGATGTGGTTTTGCCCACACACATTTAGTGACAGAATTAGTCAAAACAAAGTACTTTCAAACATTTATTATTAAATCCTGCCTATTGATTTGTTATCAGCTGAGAGCACTCTCTATCAAAGAGGAAGAAATTTTGATAGTCAAGGAACAAAATTGAGGGTTGCATGTTGTACGCAGTAGGAAGATCTGATTGGGAAATTCAATTGCATATTACTTTTCTAATTTCAGTTTTAAAATTTTCAGCAATTTCTTTTTTTTAAACCTTACAAAAACCCGGATCACTTCCGCCAGTATTTTAGTGCTTCAGTTGTCCTTCATGGACAACTTTCTTGAGTCACTGTTAACTTTAACTTTGCATTTTTGAAATTGCCACCCGAACACTGTTCATTTTGCTATCTTTTAGATCAATATGTAACTGCAAGCTGAAAATAACACAAAGTTGATCAGGAGATGTGGTCTGGGGCTACCAAATCAATGCTCTGTAGCTTCCTGTGATAAGTTCTGAATTTCTGATGGCTAATGTACTAGGTTTTATTCTTTGCTGTACCAATTATACCTGTTATATTATGGTCATATTATCTCTGGTGTACTGCGTGATGTTCACAATGACTTTTGGGCAGTTTGTTTTGTAGCACAGGTCCTGCATTGGATAATGTACTCTTTGCTGATGTGACTGTTTAGTTCCTTTTATCATTAAGCAAATGCTGTAGTTTCTGTTCATTCTCCTCTTTCACGTTATTGTTGGACATGTTTTCCACTTGTTTTATGTTTGTTTTACGTTTGTAAAAGAGTTTTCTCAGGTTTCTTACTTCACTGTTATTGTTATACCTACTTCAATTGTTTTTTGTTCTTGATGTAAACCGTAAAGCAAAATCAAGGGGGTAATTAACTAAGTACAGCTTGACCAGTTGATGTTCAAAACTGCATATTTGTGAACCTTTAAAAAATACGTTGTTCTTCAGTTTATCAAGTCATTTGATTTTCAGATTTTTCAAAAAGTATTTTTTGCTGTAAGGTCTGGGGATAGTAATTGTTTTTTCTTTGGTGTGTTTTTTTATGTAGTTGACAAACAATTTTTTTTTAGAAATAACAATATTTACCTGTTCACTAATATGCTAAATATTTTTCATGCAATTGCAATCAATTTATAATGTTTTGAGTGCAATATATAAGATAAAGTAATTTTTTTACCTGTATAAATCAGACATTCATAAATTCATTGTTTCTGCTCTCGTTTGAAAATCACTGTTTTTCAAAAGTAATAGATACATTAATTCTAGATACGATACATTAATTCTTTCCATACTGCTGTTTACAACTTCAGCACACAGGTTTTTGCAAAAGGAATCTGTGTATATCAAAATGGCTCAAATACCTCACTTGTGTTTAAAATAAAACTTTTACATCAACATATCAGCTCTTGTTTTGCTTTCTTTTCTCTTCTTCATTGCAATCCCACTCCCCACCCACTCATCTTTGATCCAGTGAATGTGGGCGTTGATAAACCAATGTCCATGTCGAAACTGAGAGGAAGAAGCCAAGAGAGATAAGGGTGGAATAACACTGTCAACAGAAGCAAAGCTGTGTGTTTGATGTCAATAAAAGTATTGGTGCTGTGTCCACAATAGATTTCTATCAGACCAGGATAATGGAATAACTTATGAACATACTGCAATCCTGAAAGTTAACAGATGCTTCTTTAAAAGTTCCTCTGTACCAACTTTGTTGCATTGATCCACCTTCTTGTTTGTTTTTATTTACTTCATCATGACACATTTTCAACATCATAATACACGTTTGTCAATCAACAACTTCTTGTGTTTTCCCCACTGTTTATCAGGCATGTTCCACAATCTACCCCCTCTCAGCCCTCGGTTCGAAATGTGGCATCGTATACAAGACACATACCCAAACCATTCCACGCTGTGATTTCATTATGAGTCAGTTTAAATTGGAGTGCAAAACGCGCGCTTTATCTGTCAGTGTAATCAACACGCACCTTACTGATGTATATTTAAATGTGGAATATCAACAAACGTGACAGAGAAATTTAAACAAAACCTAAGTGAATAGGTTCGCTCTTCATTATAAATATCTAAAAGGAAAGAGAAACTTTTCAATGATTCAGTTTATATCGACGGAAGCGTATGGAAAGGTTGGCAGCGATGTAATACCTTCTGCTTTGTGCTACGCTGGCGCTTTGTGTATGTGTGAGTGTGTGTATGTGTGCGTGCGTGACGTGGGGTGTTTATCGTCGTCGCGCATTGCGGCTTTCTCGTTCCACCGGCCCATCCCACTTCTACCCGGTCCCGGCCTCGTTCTGACATTTCTCCTTCAGTTTTCTACGGAGGAGGTACTCTACTCAGTATTTTCAGTGTCTCTTAAGGCAGCTAACCAAAACCATCACAATGGCGAAAATTAAGGGTAAGTTTGCGTTAATTCAGGTTAACTATAAGGCCGCTACGAGCAAAAAATCCAGAAAAGGTACATTTAGAATGCTAGATTTATTCGCGCTACTCATTTCCGTACAAGCTACGCTTTTGTCTATGTTTGATTCATGCTGCAAAATGCAACATGTGCACAAGAGGCGGTCCTTAATTTGGTTCATCTTGCTCTAGCAGTTAATTATCTATGAAACTTGCTAAATCATTCACTTGGATTTGGCCTTGAATGAAAGTTATGTCTGTTACTAAGGTGACACCACTCCCGATTTCTTTTGTGGTGGTTGGGATTCTTTGCATGCTTAAGTAGTTCTTAAGCAAAGCTTAACTTAAGCAAAGCTTAAGCAACAGTGGCTTAAGCAAGGTGGCTTAAACAGTGTTTAAGCAGTTCTGCTTAAGCAGTTACAAAATATCTAGGGTTTCTTACATTCTCCGGCAACAATGTTATGTAAACCTTATATAAAGAAAAGAGCAGCCTCATTCTCATCATATTAAAAGAGCTAATGAAAAGGTGAGGAGAAATTTATGAATATCATCGTAATTGCCGCTTTCTTGTTTATTGTTTCCAGCCGGACCAGTTGTGGACATTCTTGGAGATGAAATGACCAGGTAAAAATAAATTTCTAACTTGTGTGGATATATCTTTGTCACATGACCTTTGCTGATTACCATGTGAACTGCAACACAGTTCTTTTGATACACCTACTACATATTCAACAACCTTTATACCTCCTTGTGTCAGTCTAGACACCTGAATTCAAATGTATGTTAACAAGATACTGAAAAGGTGTCAACAGAAAAAGAAAGGAAAAACCCTTGTGGCTATTATCACCTATTATAGTTGTTTTAGAGTAGACTACCAATTTTCTCAGGTCTACACTACCCAACTTTCATCAATAGCATGCCTGTTGTTTATTTTAAGCTTGACATGACCATTTTCTGTCTGGATAAAGTCAAAAGTTACTTTGTTGAAACTAAGTTACAAAGCATAAAAGACTCAACAAAATCTTTCTAATCTTTCTAATTTTATAATCATACATACTCATTATATTTGTTTTCATCATTTTACAGAATAATCTGGGATCTCATCAAAGAAAAACTTATCTTACCCTTCCTTGATATTGAGCTCCATGTTTATGATTTGGGAGTTGAACATCGTGATAAGACCAATGACCAGGTTACAATTGATTGTGCAGAGGCTATCAAGAAGTACAATGTAGGAATTAAATGTGCCACAATCACACCTGATGAGAACCGTGTCACAGGTGAGAAAAATATGGGTGGCAGATTTTTATTCCACTCAGCAACTCTTTCCTTTGTTATTCTTTTGGCTATATTTGAAAAGGGTTAACATGCACCTGGTGGATAGTAAACTTGGGTCTCTGCATTCATATGGTTCCACCAGTGTTTGCTGACCTTAATACCCTTCTCTTGGTAATACCCAACTTTCACCTTTGACCACCTCAGACTTTCACCTGTACCCACAAGGCTTATTTCAACATTGACTTGTGTTGTAGATTGAATTTCTCTATCTTTTGGTTACAGAGTTCAATCTTAAAGAGATGTGGAAATCTCCCAATGGAACCATTCGTAATATTCTTGGAGGAACAGTATTCAGGGAACCAATCATTTGTAAAAATGTTCCTCGTCTTGTACCTGGTTGGACAAAACCTATCATTATTGGACGTCATGCTCATGGAGACCAGGTAACTTAATTTACTGAGAACTGTTACAGAAGAGATTTTAGTGACAATTGTATGAACCCTAGGATGAACTGTCTGTGGATGTGTATTAAAAGCCAGCTGTGTGCTTTTCCTTTTTTTTCTAGTACAAGGCGACTGATTTCCTTGTACCAGGGGCTGGCACATTGACCTTGTCATTTACACCCGCTGCTGGAGGCCAGTCTATCTCTGTAGCTGTTAATGAATTCAAGAGTTCAGGTGTTGCCATGGGGATGTATAACACTGATGAATCCATCCGGTAATTACTGCAAATATTATTCCCAATAGAAGTTACAACCAGTTCTGTAATTTCCCAAAATTGTCAAAGTATTTTTTTATATTTTTTTTTAGAGGATTTGCTCACTCGTCTATGCAGTTTGCTCTTCAGCGAGAGTATCCACTGTACCTGAGCACGAAGAACACTATCTTGAAAAAGTATGACGGCCGTTTCAAGGATATCTTCCAGGAAATCTATGACAAGTAAGCCTTTTTTTCATTCACAAACTCCATTTTTATGCAACACTCGTACTGACTGTCAACTTTCTTTGTGTTAGGGAATACAAAGCTCAATTTGAGGCCAAGAAAATTTGGTATGAACATCGTCTTATTGATGATATGGTTGCATTTGCCATGAAGACTGATGGTGGCTTTGTTTGGGCCTGCAAGAATTATGATGGTGATGTCCAGTCAGACTCAATTGCTCAAGGTTATGGTTCTCTAGGAATGATGACCTCTGTGCTGGTTTGTCCTGATGGCAAAACTGTTGAGGCTGAGGCAGCTCATGGTACTGTGACAAGACATTACCGTATGCACCAGCAAGGCAAAGAAACATCAACAAATCCCATTGGTGATTATACTTTTGCTATCTAGATGTTCCTCAATATATCTCGTTTCCTTTCATGTATAAATGTTACTTTTCTTTTCTAAATTTCAGCATCGATTTATGCATGGACAAGGGGTCTTCTTCATCGAGCTAAGCTTGACAACAATGCTGAGCTTCGCAAATTTGCAGAGAGCCTGGAAGAAGTGTGTGTGAGCACTATTGAAAGTGGATTCATGACAAAGGATCTAGCAATTTGTGTCAAGGGAGCCAAGTAAGAATAAAAACATTGGTATCTATTCGTCTTGATCTTAAGAAACAAACTAACATTTAAATGTATTTTTCTAGTGTTCAACGTTCCGACTACCTTAATACATTTGAATTCCTTGACAAGCTTGCTGACAATCTCAAGAAGAAGCTTGCGTGACTACCATCCAAACTGTGATAAAAGCACACTACATGCTGCATCACCCATTTTTGTGTTGTTCTTTTTTTTTTTTTTACATTTTTAATTGCTCATTTATTTTCATCAGTCATGAAACTAAAGATTTATTTGCTGACTTTAAGGCTTCTTTTTTCCTACAAAGTATTGTATTTAGATTCTTCTGTTTCTTTTTACTCCATACCATGTGTATGTTTTAGAATGGTGTATGTTTCTTTTTAATAAAACTTGTTGTTAAAAAATAGAATTTCTCTCTATGTTTACCAGGGTGGTTGGTCGAGAGGTAAAAACCAACCACCCAAGAAAGAGAAACCTCACAACACTATTGGTTCCTTTAAAAACAGCCACAATGCCAGGTGATTCCATATACGAGGTTGGGAACTTGTTGTGCGGTGAGCAATAGGTTGCCTTCCACTCAGGCGGACCGGTCCAAGAAATAAAGGGTGTTTAACTATTCTGCGTTGACCAAGAAAATAAGTCCAAACCATTTCCAGCAAATTTTTAAATTTCTCAACTTTTGACATGAGTTCAAAAGGCTTTTATAATTTGGCCTCAGTTCCTAACTGTAGGACTGAAAGTTCCTCTAGGATAAAGCAGAGGTGTGGATAGAGGGTGAGGTGGGATATGACAGTATACATACACTACACCAGATTTTCATCAAAAATTGAGGAATTAATTTGTCACTTTTTTATTGTGATTTTTCTTTACATTCTCTTATTTTTAACAACTCTAATAAATATCTTAGAGTTCTAACAACTAAACACAGGTAAATATCACAACACCCCTCCATTAAGCTTACTTTCCATATCACTTTTTCAATATTTGATATTGATGAATACCCGCTAATTACAAAAGCTGGTGTCATAAATAGGTAGATAAATTTAAATTACATGCGATGAGACCATACATTGATTGCACTATGACTTTATATCCTAGGAGTACGAAATTTCTTTAAATGACAGTGACCCTCAATTTCACCTCCACAGATCAATTCATAGGTGTTGCGCAAATCAAGTTTTTAAATTATTGAAATTAATGACATGTTGGAAGATATTTAGTAGATAGTTTAGCTTTCCGACTTTGTAATTACAGCTAGATTGAGATCGAGTGTTTTATGATCCCAGAAAAATAAAAATGGATTCATGATGTGAGATTCAACTTGGATGTGGATAATAAGTGACCAAAACGTCAAACAATAAATAGACAAAAATTCTGGGAAGAGTTCCATGTTTTAAGTATGAGTGAAAGCCAATTCGTCGTCTTTCCTCCAGTATTAAATTAATATCCTTTTTCTAAAGCAGATGGCTGAAAAGATGACATATACACCCTTCACGTGTTTGTCATCATTGGAAATACAGCTCATATGGAGCAGATAAGAGATCAGTAAAGAAATTTATGTTTGACTTTGGTATTTAAGATTAAGTTGAATACCTCTTACTGGGGTTTTAGAACAATACTTCACTCCTATTGTACATGCACAAATGGCACAATACAAATATTTTGATCTTAAAAAGAAATCAAATAATAAATGAAATGGTTAAAGATGACAAATTTCTTTTAAAATACTGACTGGATTGTAAGTACTATAATAAATTTGCACTTATGGCAATTTTTATCACATTTCGAAAAGAAAGACCCATTTTTTATTAAATGGACATTAGCAGGCGTAAGTCTTTGATTACATATCTTTTGCTAGCTTGATACAAAAACCCTTCACTTTTACAAACAAAATCATCTAGTCCCCTGTATTCCAAAATTACAAATTCGGATTTCATGTTCACCATCTTTTGATGTCTAAACATATACAGTGTAATACAGTAAAATCTTTGGTGAGAAGATAGGTGAGGAAATCCAACTCCTGCACAAAATAGGCGTATCATAATTATAATAATTAAAATGCATCTTTTATATTTTGAAACTGGCGTACTGCTAAATCCACTGGAAGCTCAAATTCAAAGTCCTTCAATTTCTCCAAAGTCTGCAAGGTATCTTCAAATCCTGAAACAAGAAGTATGCCCTGGATGAATAAGTCAAAAGTCCTGTCCAATGTAGGGTGCAGTGTCCAATGTGCTTTTCCTTCAAAAGGTTTAAGTAGCACACAGTAACTACATCATTTGACCACACCTGTTTTACAGACATAACTCCAGGGCTGATAATAAGCCTCAATAATTGGTTGACAATGAAGGATAAGCCTTAGCCAGTACACAAGCTTCTTGGAGCTGGAATTTCAATACAATTAACAGAATTAACACAATTACAGAATACATTTCGTTATTCCAAGAGTAAATAATTATTTACACTGAATTTATAAAAAAAAAACTCACTTTAAACCAGCGCAAACAAATGCTTTGAAATGAGAATCATAGCTGCGCTTATAACGGGTGTGGCTACTGATGATGTTTCCAACAGTGCTCAGAAGTTGCTGGAAGAATAAAAGATATATGGCACAAATAATGAATTTATAAATCATCAAATATGTACAGCTCACAAGATTGCACTAATACTTACTTGTTTGTTTGATACGGCAACTCCACCTACAAGTTCCAAATTAAAACTTTGAGAGAGTCTTCTTGCAGGTGTAGAATTATAGGACTCTCCATTCTTCAAATCATAATAAGCCAAAATAAGCTCCCATGCATGGAGAGGTTTCTCTTTCACAGCAGGACCCCGCACAGGAAAGCATCCAATCAGAGGTACTAGGCTCATATTTTGATTATTCTAGAAATACAAATGCAATACAAATAGTATAGAAAAAAAAAAAAACTGACAATTTTATTTTGTGACTCAATAATTCAAGATACAATTTTATTTTTACCTGTGTAAGTCCATGTTCCATGAGTTCTTTGATAGTCATGGCCAATTTTTTCCTAACTGCTGAGGTGATGCGGGCGTTGCACATTACAACAGGTGCACCCTCAGAATCAGAAGCATAATCTTCGCTCTCCCCACCACTTTGACTTTCTGCTGCCTCCATCATTATTTCTGAAACTTGTGCCACAGCAACTTCCAGACGAGCTCGCAGATCGCTAAACATGTAAAAATTAAGAAGAGCTTAAAAACAAACAAAACTTAGTAAAGATAAAAAGACTAAAAGTAATAACTGACCCCCAGTGGTTGACTTTCATGTTCTTTTTCATAGTGTTCTTGTGAAACACCTCTTGACCACATCCAAACTGTGATACAGCAAATATTTGCATAAGTACAGCCGCTTTTCTCATAATATTTAAAGTTTTCTCTCGAATCTGTAAAGACAGAAATTGATGTGTTCAAACACAATTCTGAACTCATTCAAAATTCAGTAATTATTAAACCTACCTTATCTTCTTGACCATTAAGTGCTTGTTGGCGGGTTTGCCAACTTCTAGCCTTTTTGGCTCTCTGAGTTATAGCACATGATTCAGTATGAACTCGAGAATGACATGTGCATTTTGGGTGTGTTGTATTACTAGCAGCTTCATCAGGCCCTGCTTCACCTAAAATTTAGATCGTCAATAAATAACTTGATAAGGAATATTAAATCAGCTTTTCTTATTTTAATCAGAAAGAAGTGTGTGAGATTATTAGAAAATGTTAATGATTCAGGAACAATGTTTAAAGTTCTTATGAACTTTCAAATGCTCTTAAGTAACAGTCTCATGCAAATACCTTGTAAAAATTCAACAAATCTTTCCAGATCAGAAATCTGTGTTTTAAGTTGGTTCACCAGCTGCTCCTTAACTTTCAGAGGATTGATAAGCTAGTGTGTGAACAGTTAGTGTGTTAGTAATGGGTTACAATTATAGAGGACAGGAAAAAGAAGAAACCTTAAAACCAAATTTGCAAAATTAGAACAAAATAGAGAAGGAGACTACCTCTCCCACTGCTTCTTCTACTTCTTTCTTCAAATCATCTGGTGATAAAGCAGCAATATCATCAACATTGAGATTCAGTTTTCCTTTTAGTTCATCTACAAAAACAAAAAATAATACTGGTAATAACTATTCATTTTTAAATAAATAACCTGATTAAATATTGATGCAAATTAAAGCGTAGAATGTTTACCAATTAATAATTTTTGCCTTTCAAGAAGAACGCTTTGAGGCAGTCCAGCTTCTCCTGTTTCATATGCATATTTTTCTAGATCTTCCAACTGTTGTTTCAACTGCTGTATAAGTTCTTTCTGCTTCTCTCTTTGTTGGGAAAGGTATTCTTCAGATCGATCTCCATCCTAAAAATTAAGACGTTCAGCTGACATGCTCTTTTACGGAAGTTTCAATAAAAACAAAATATGTTAATGTTCACAGAATTACATTATCTCTCTCATCTTTTCGGAAATACTGAGGACCTTTGACTTCAGGTATACCACGAAATGCAAACTGTTCAAGGTCTTTCAAAAGTACATCTTTGTCCTGCACTGGTGCATCAACAATTTGTCTCAAACGAAACTGGACCTGAAAATTTTAACTCTTTGAGTAAAAAGTAGAGGTGTACAACGTTATAAACTTACACCTAGATAGATAATTACCTGCGCAAAATGAGATGTTAATGCAATAAGAGATGAATTAACAACGTCAAGCTGTTCTTCCAATTCTCTTGTTCGAGGAGATTCACATGGATAATAGCTGAAATACAAAAATTATGTTGTAAACTTCAAGATTTAAATGCGACGATCATCTTGTTCTTATTATTTTAGAATTTTTTTGAGAGGATACAGAGATACAGAGAGCCGGATAGTATTAGGGCCTGTCCCAATGAAATAGTGAATTCCCAAAGTCCCAGTTAAAATTTTTGAATTAAAAAAAAAAAAAGAAACATGCCTTCAGGTGAACCATATGAAAACCACCCCCTGCTGCTGTACCCTGGGAGGGCAGTTCTCATCCACAATAATATCCATAACGCGAGTCAGGACACATTAAAAAGAACTCAGCAAACGATTTAGTGGGTAAGATTTTATTTCAAATGTATTTCAAATTACGTACCAGTTGGCATCATGAATAGACTCAAAGGCAGCTTCGTCGTCAAGCTCACTTGCTCCAACGGGGGCCCAACGCTCCCCCGAGGGTTTTCCATCATACAAGTCGAATCCCTCGGCCTCTTCCCCAGAAATGGAAACCTCCTCCATCATGTTGGAGAATTAAACAAACGGCTTCAACATAGTTTGATGAAATTTTTCCGAACACAGCAGCAGAAGACACTTGACAGCTGTTTTACTGCTATAGGGGCTGCTCCCCCCTTCCTTACTCCCACACGTATCGGGTGCTTTCCAGAGCGCACTTCCCTTAAGCACGAGTGGTGCGGTGGCGCTAACCCTTTTCCACCTTTTCCAGCAATTTTTCGTACTGAGATGTAGTCTCGCTAAAGGTGTACTCATCTTTATTATCAGCATGTGTGTGGATTTAGCGAATTTTTTTACCTTAGATAGTACTAATCTTTTGCCTCTCCTGTTAATTTCTTTCCTAACTCTGCACAATCATCACGAGTCACGAGTTCCTATCATTCAGAGTGCAGTTCGAAATATATGATTCATGGGTGTCAAGACTGGAAGCAGAAGGCACTACAGCAGCGCTCCTAGTGGACTGGAACCGAAACCCCTGCCACACAACACTTTCTGCTGTCGTCGGCGACTCGGCACGTCTATTGTGTTTGGGTTGGTTTCGGCTTTGCTTTGTCCGATTGATAAAGCTGCTACTGACTTGAATTGTAATCAGTCTCGGGCTCTATGTTATGAAGAAAGTCACGTTCTGAACTTTTGTTGTTTTGTGAAAATGACGAACCAGAAGACAGACCGGCACTCCAACAGGAGGAGTGCTGAGATGGAGAACAGACCGTTCATAACCAAACAGTTTTTAGTAAATTTCTGTTTAGGTGTGTTGTGTGTGTTGATATTTCTTAGTTTTCCGACTATAGTGAAAAGTCATGGGCATTCTCACGGAGATCACGACCATGATCATCATGATCTGCACCATCACCATCATCCTGACGAGAAGCCTTCCTTTAAGTATTCAAGAGCTGCAAATGAAGAGCTAGCAAACGCAAGAAAAGAATCTTCAAATTCGGGACCAGCAGTTCAGCCAAAGACAAATCAACCACCTCTTGATGGAACGTCATCTCCTTGGGTAGATGCTATTGTGTCTACATTGCTCATCAGTATAGCTCCCTTCCTGATTTTATCTGTTGTACCGTTAGACGGATCAGCAGAGAAGGAACCGTTACTCAAAATTCTCCTTGCTTTTGCCTCTGGTGGACTGCTTGGTGATGCATTTCTGCATTTAATTCCCCATGCATTAACTCCTCACACTCATGGTGATGATCATGATCATGGACATAACCATGGCCATAGTCATGGTCATAGCCATGGCGAAGGACATGGTGGACATGACATGAGTGTAGGGCTCTCTGTTCTGGGAGGAATTTTAGTTTTTCTTATGGTAGAGAAATTTGTTCGCCTGGTAAAAGGAGATCACAGCCACTCTCACGGACACACTCATGCCAAGCCAGCTGTTAAAGACTCAGTGAAAGATATCAAGCAATCAGAATCAAAAGGCAAATCAAAGGAGAAAGAAAACTCCAAGCAGGTTGCTCAAAAAGAATCAGGTAAGAACTCAAACATTGATCTATTCCTCATTTTAACAATATTTGCGCTAACATTTGTTTCTTTTTTCAATGCAGAAGGAGACATAAGGGTGTCAGCATACCTTAATCTAGCAGCTGACTTCACTCACAATTTCACTGATGGACTAGCAATTGGAGCTTCTTACCTTGCTGGACGCAATATTGGTATTATCACCACCATTACTATTCTGTTTCATGAAGTTCCTCATGAAATAGGTGACTTTGCTATACTTATTCAGTCAGGCTGCTCGAGAAGGAAGGTTGGTATAAATCTGTGAAGAAGCAGACTTTTACTATGTTTTGGTATTGTGTAACAAAATTGTGAATCTTTTCAGGCAATGATGTTGCAGCTTGTAACTGCATTAGGAGCTCTCTCTGGAACAGTGTTTTCCCTTCTAGCTCAGGGAACTGGTAAGTGCACCCCACATCGGTTTGACATACTCATGTATTTTATCGTTTAACACTCACCACTGTCCAAATTTTAGGTAATGTTGGTGTATCATGGATCCTACCATTCACTGCTGGCGGTTTTATATATGTTGCGACTGTCACTGTCATCCCTGAACTTCTAGTTGACACCAAGTTTTGGCAGTCAGTTAAAGAGATCATAGCTTTATTAGTTGGTGTTTATATGATGGTTCTTATTGCTGAGTATGAATGAAATGACGGCTAGATTTTTGAGGTTTTGAAAGCTTTTCAATTGGACTGTCATCTGGCTGAAGAGTTGTAAAATTTTGAATACTTTGAGAGGGCAATAACCAAACCACAGACTAGTCTGCTTGTAAGTTTTTCCTTCCTTAGAGCTTCTGATGTGCCATTTGCATAAGCCTGAAATTACGAAAGACATTCTATCCATTATTATTTTCCCAATTGTTTTTTCCTGACTGAGGGAGACTGTACAAGATTGTTCAATATATTTTTTAATCAATCAATGTCAATAAACATCACAATATTCATTTTGCATTCTAAACAAAAAATATATCACAAGAATTCTGGAATACATGTGAAAAGGTGGATTTACAATAGGAATTCTCCGAGTGCATTTGGGGCAGTTGGTTGATGGGCGAAAAAATGCCCTTGCTCTGACTACGCTTGCAGCGTCCCAATCACTTAAATTAGTTTGAATTCTTATGCATTATTGATAGGTCATTCTTGTGATTGAAAAGTACTGGTTTTGTTCTTCCCTCTAAGTACTTAGAAGTTATTTTATGTTTTGACTGATTGTAGTCTTTTGAAGTACTGTATATGCATTCTCTTCAGAGTAATATTCTGGTATATAGACTGCTGTACCTGCCTTTGTGTTGTAGTGTGATATGTTTCCATATTGGTGTATTCCAGTTTATCTTTTCCTATTGGTGTGCACATTTTTTGGGGTGTGTTTATCATATTGATGTAAACAATTTTTTTTAACTTGTTTGTGTTTTTCTTATAAGTACTACCGATCTGAAAATTAAGAATGACAGTTTTCACATTCCTTTTTTGAAATTGTAATCAGTCTAACGTTGCAAAATATTCACATCAAGTGTTTCCATCTTGTATTGACGGGTAGATTCTTAAAGGACCCCTCACCGGAAGGACCCCC